AAACGTCGTCTCAACCGCGACATTAAGGAGCGGTATCAGCTGCAGCACAAGGTCAGTCTGATGGCCCAAATGTCGCGCAGCATGGTATACAATCGGCTGCTGGGCGACTCCGAGCTAATGGCAGGGGCTCTAAAGCTGCTACCAAGCAAGAAGGCCTACCCAACGGAGCGGGGCACAGAGTTGAAGTATCTTCAATCTTTTGTCACCTGGTTCAAAACTGCAGTCAAACTTCTGAGCCCCCACTTGTATCCCGAGCAAACAGAGGGTACCAAGCAGGGCATTATCAAGGAAATACTATCTCAAATCAGACGCAAGGAAGCTCGATGCAAGCAGGATCTTATATTCATATTTGTTATACTTGCAAGAGGAATGGGCATGCACTGCCGGCTGATCGTGAATCTGCAGCCAATGCCGATGCGTCCCGCAGCCAGTGACCTAATTCCGATCAAGCTGAAATCAAATGAAAAAAATAAGAGTCAAGGTCAGAATCAGACGGTAGATTCCGATGATAAGAGCGACGACTCCACAGGTGAAACGATGGAGCGCAAAGCTGCTCCGGTGATAAATAGTAGCAAGCCACAGCTATGCCCCTTAACCGAACCTAAAAAGCCCAGTCCCAGCTCACACAGTTTAAGAAGTGTTAAGAAGGAGAGCGATACAGCTAATCCGACTAAAAAAGAGTCTGAAGACATCAAGACAAGATGTAGTTCTAGGAATGTCAAGGAGCAACGAGAGCGGACACTAAATTCTAGCTTGGTCGAAAACGAAAGCCCACCTAAAAGTGGCCACAAAGCGTATCCAAAGTCCGTAGAATGTGGCTCCGAGGAAAAGCCAAGTACTTCGAAAGCAGCCAGGCCGCAGATTTCGGCTCTAAAGCGTGGCGGACCGGTTACAGAAATCACGGGCACAGACGAGAGCAAGAAAGCCAGGTTGGCTCCTCTAAATGTGTCCTCCCCAATAGCAGGACGTACGCTCAAAGCTGCTGATAAGCCAAAACCGGCTGCTCTGCAAAATAACATATCGGGGACTCCACCGAAAATCGGATCGCCCGTCGTTCCCAAGCTGGTGTTTTCGAAATCCAAACTGCAGAATGCCAAGCACAGTGACGCGGAGAACGCAAATCCCACAGAGAAGCCGCAGCATCAGAAACAGCTAAGTGCGCGAGACACACGCTCGCGTAGCAAGTCTCCAAAGGTCCACATTTCGCCCAATTTTTTAACGGGCAAGTCTGGCGCTGTAAGAGCAGAAAGAACAACGAGTCAAACGCGGAGGAAGGGCCAAGAGGCTGAGGCTACAACATCTGATGGACGGCAGCTTCGGACTCGCCAGCAGAAGATCGCAAAACTTACCATACCTCAGTTAGATGGCACCGACGACCTGCCAGTGGCCAAAAAGCGACTTAAGCTGGAAAAGCTGCATAAGCCGCAAGATTCCGACGAAGTATTTGAGCCAGCCAGGCCGGTGAAAAAGGCGCCGATCCTGCCCAAGGCAATGGAAAAGTTGCGCAAGGACAGGCGAGTCATGTCCACAGATGATGAGAGCGGATCGAAAGGCAAGCAGAGGCTTGACTCAGCTGACATGTGGGTGGAGGTCTGGTCCGAGGTGGAAGAACAGTGGATCTGCATTGACTTGTTCAAGGGAAAGCTGCACTGCGTAGACACAATAAGGGTAAGATATAAAATTCCAGAGGCAACATATATGTTAATATCGTGCCCTTGCAGAAAAACGCCTCTCCAGGCCTGGCCTATGTATTTGCTTTCCAGGATGATCAGAGTCTGAAGGATGTAACCGCTCGCTACTGTGCCAATTGGAGCTCCACCGTTCGTAAGGCACGTGTTGAAAAGGCCTGGATCGATGAAACCATCGCTCCGTATCTGGGTCGTCGCACCAAAAGAGATATTTGCGAGGATGAGCAGCTAAGGCGAATACACACGGAGAAACCCCTTCCCAAGTCTATAGCCGAATTTAAAGACCATCCGCTGTATGTTCTCGAGCGGCACCTTCTCAAGTTCCAAGGCCTCTATCCAGCAGATGCGCCAACTCTTGGTTTTATCAAGGGGGAAGCTGTCTACTCAAGAGATTGTGTGCACCTTCTGCACTCTCGAGATATTTGGCTGAAGAGCGCCCGCGTTGTGAAGCTGGGTGAGCAGCCCTACAAGACTGTCAAGGCGCGTCCTAAGTGGGATAAGGTAGGTTCATCTACACAGCGATCGACCAACGTCAGTGACTAATGTAAACTAAATTTTCTGTCCAGCTAACACGCTCTGTTATTAAAGACCAACCCCTTGAGATATTTGGGTACTGGCAAACGCAAGAGTACGAACCTCCCACTGCGGAGAACGGCATTGTTCCACGCAATGCCTACGGCAATGTCGAGCTATTCAAAGCCTGCATGCTTCCTAAGAAGACGGTGCACCTGAGGCGTAAGTTAATCTACCTACCAAAAATGAATCCGTTTCTATACACAATGAGTAATTTTTGTTTATTGGCAGTGCCGGGACTGATGCGCGTTTGCAAGAAGTTGAGCATAGACTGTGCAAATGCAGTGGTCGGCTTTGATTTCCATCAGGGCGCTTGTCACCCCATGTACGATGGCTTTATTATCTGCGAAGAGTTCCGGGAAGTGGTATGTGCGGCTTGGGAAGAGGATCAGCAGGAGCAGGCGCGCAAAGAGCAGGAAAAGTATGAGACCCGAGTCTTCGGCAATTGGAAGAAGCTCATCAAGGGTCTGATCATTCGCGAACGGCTCAAAAGGAAATACAATTTTTAAATGTCTAATTTTCCGTTTTCATATCGACTGAAATTGAATTCCTTCTTTGTCTCAGTTCGGACACTAACCAAATAGTATAGTAGATTGTCAATTCAAAGAAAGCGAAACGTCACCGCAGAATGTGCGTCGCGAAGTCCCAGGCCTCTGCCAACGTCACAGCTACAAGTATTAGTGCGTGTAGAACACGCAGCTAGAAGTCCCAGCTACATTTGTATAAGTGCGTGTAGAGCACGCAGCCAGAAGTCCCAGATACATTTGTATAAGTGCGTGTAGCCAATGATTTTTTAGCGCTTCAAACCGGTTCTGTCTTGATTCACACGGACACTGCAAGTAATGTATGTGTTGGTGCGCTGACTTTCTGAAGTGCGATGGAACGACAATTCGTTTTGATGATTTGATTTTGTTTTCGGGGCTTGGCGTATGAACCTGACCTACCGCAACATGTGCAGAATGAGGGGTGGGGATTGGTGGACCTTTGGGGGTTGGATAAATAAATATACCATTAAAAGGTGTTATTGTAATTGTATGCTGTAATTGTTTTATATGCAGATTTTATACTGGTTTTTTTCAAAATTGTATGCATATTATAGAAACGCCGTCGCTTCTCGACTTCGTTGCTGCCGTCTTATCAAAATTGTTATCAAATCCATCTTTTACAGACAAATCTTTTCAGATAAATATGAAAACATATATATGTATATAAGCATATATGTAAACACATATGTATATATATGTACATACATCTTTCCAATTTCTGTTCTCGTCGTCGGTTATGTTCTCTACTTCATGTGCGCTTTAATTGTTAGCGCTTGAAACCTTTTGCATTTTTTTTTTGTTCTGAGCTCACATACCCTTTAAAATGAAAAGAAAAAGCTTGCCCCTCAATATCAAAATAAATTTATTTTGTGTGACCTTTATATGCTTTATATAATTTAGGATGAAAGGGGTAATGGATATAAACATCTGAATATTTATACAAATAATGAATTACGGCAATTGACTTTGCGTTGCAAATATTTTTCATTCGAGTATTCAGGGTCACGGTGTAAACAAGCATGGAGGTTTGACGGAACGGGACATGGAAACATTATTGCTGGCAAGGCGGCTGCCTTGCACATTTTCCTCCGACTCCCATCGGCAGATCGATCGGCAGATTTGATGCCCAAGCATGGCACTAAAATCTGCATATACATATATATATATATATTGTAGTAGTTATAGTAATATATCAAGAATATATATTTATGTATCAATAGCCGAGTCGATTAAGCCATGTCTGTCCTCCCTTCGTCCGTCCGTCTTTTCCTTCCTTCGTCCGACCATCTTGTGTACACCGTCATGTGTACGTGTGAGACAAATTTTGGTAAATTTTACATTTTACGTTTTTTCTACATGTGTCATCTACATCTACATAACCTCTCACGACGAAACGTTCTGTCAGCTCGCCCCCTCAATAGAGCCGCACACTGCACAAAGCAAAGTGTGTAATGAGAGAATGTGCCAAAAATAAACGAGAAGGGACGTGTGAGACGCTTCTTACGCTTCACAACTTTTATACCCGGTACTCAGTACTACACCTGTACCTTAGCGGTTTTTTGTCAAATTTTACATTTTTTCTTCATCTTTTATCTACATCTACAACACTTCTCACACCAACACGTTCCCCTAGGTGCCGCCCTTCCCTAGACCCACACACTGCAAGCTCATGGCAGAGGCAAAGACAACGCCCGAACACAAAAAAAAAAATATAAGTTGCGGCACGGGGTTAAAAATCGGCAGAGGCAGTGGCAGAGGGACGGCAGAGGCCGCATAATGCAGAAGCAGAGTGTGAATGAGAGAATGTGAAAAAAACAACAACAGCTGCGGGACGAGGTGGGTTTAGCCACTGCAAAATAATTTCTTCATTGTGGCTATAACAATGATCCAATCGGATCTCAATTTGATGATCTGATAGATATGGCCATTCCCTACGGAATGGCTTTTTTAGTTTTCTTTTATCTTCAAAATTGTAGGCTTGGGAGGTTTTTCCCTTTTGCGGGGGCGGAATGGGGCGGGGCTCATTTTTTAAATACACTTGTAGCAGTGTGAGCATACACAAGTCTGGATGCAGAATTTGGTGGCTCTAGCTTTTATGGTCTCTGAGATCCAGGCACTCAACAAGGCGGACGGACGGACAGACGGACGGACAGACAGACATGGCTCAATCGACTCGGCTATTGATACTGATCAAGAATATATATACTTTATGAGGTCGGAAACGTTTCCTTCTGTGCGATACATACATTCACTTTGTGCACAAATACAATATACCCTATTTACTCTTCGATTACCGGCTATAAAAGTTGTCACCAGACCATTTCCAAGCCCCATATCTCTCATAAAAAGTGAGTTTCGTTCCTAGATGAAAAATCATTGGAACACGATCATCGGTGATCTGCTAGATATGGTCATGCGAGATAAGAGAGATTTTCGCCACTTGGGGGAAGGAAGGGGTCGGCGAAATTTTGAAATAAACTTGTAACAGTGTGATATCACATGAGTCTATTCATAACATTTGGTGACTCTACCTCTTATAGTCTCTGATATCCAGGCGCACATCAAGACTAACGGAGAGACGGACAGAAAGACAAACAGATATAGATTATTGATGCTATTGATAAAGATCAAGAATATATATACTTTATGGGGTCGGAAACGTTTCCTTCGTGCGTTACGCTACCCTATTGACGCTTCAAGTACCGATAATAAATATCCTCAAATAATATCTAAGCACCAAATCTTTCAGAAGAAGTTGGTTTTGTTCCTTGCGGTAAAATCGTGTCGGTTAGTGTACTCATCGAGTACAGGGTATAATAAATTCGCAATTATTGGCAGGTGGTTAAACTATTACGTGGATACCATTACCCGTGTGTCTTTAATGGTGTATGTAAAAATGGAAGACTTAGCCACTAACAATATGGGATGGTTAGTGACTTAGCCTTCTTATAAATTGTTTTTTGCAAAGCATACACACCAAACAATAATTTGCGCAGAATATTCTACCAAGATGACGGGCTTGCAGAGTCTCCCCTTGACAACAAAGGGTTAAGACCGACCAGCTGTTCGTCTATTTGTTTGTTTAGAGAACTGTGTTAGTACTGTCAATTTGCCGTGAAATTTGAAATATAAGTGGATATATTCCACTAATAATAAATAAAGAATAATACACATAGCACAACACGAGAAACACAATAAATATTCATTGTGTGGTGAGTTTCATATAAATATAAGAGTATAGTGATCGTGGCACGCTTGTAAATATGTACATATATGTATGTATGTATATGAATATGTATTAATTTCATCATGGTTGCACGTGCCGGTCAGCGACAAGTATGTATAGGTATATGTATAGGTATGTATAGTTACATATATGGACCGTTTGCTGTATTTGATCGAGTGCATATAAAGAATCTCTTGTTCGGTTCTCTATTGTGCTGCGTGGATCAGGCGCTCTGGACTGCATCGCCCTGACGCACACGTCTGTCGTTGGCTTCAGCTGCACGTCTCAGAAAAACTAGTTTCGAACAGACTTACAACTAATACTCTCCATTAACTCAATCTCCTTCAGAAGCCCAGGATCCTCTCAAGAAAAGTGGTCCTCTCCAGCAAATCAACTCCCCTTCACGATACCAGGCTGTAATTAAACTGCGCAGTAAAAGCAATAACTGTGTGGGAAAGCTCTATAAGAAACTGTAAGAAGCAATGTCCGACGAAGAAGACGAATCGGTCTCCGAGGGCTTCTCTGCCAGCGAGGATGAGTGGAAGCCCGACAAAGATGCTCGCGGCGGCGAATCATCGGACGACGACGATAGCGGTGCTTCTGCAGTTCCTAGGGGCCGATCATCTGCTGGCGCATCAAAAAAGAGGTAAGCTGTCAATCGTCGGATATTCGTTCTGATTTCGTTAACACTCCGCTTCTGTAGAGATCAGAAACCGCCAAGCGGCATAAAGGGAGCTTCAGTAAAGAAGCGCAAGCCGAGTGGTCAATCTCTGCGCTCAAAGCTGTACAACAAGTACCGACCGCCGCTCAAGACGTTTCCCACTTCGCCCTCCCAGCAGAACTCGCCATCAGCGTCGGGTTCAAAAAACGCAAGAACGCCCAATGAAAGCGGTGCACAGGATCGGCACTATGCTGATTCCAGCAGTGAATGCAGTGTAGACGACTATTTGGTTAATCCCGCTGACCTCGATCTGCGCTCGAGCTTCTTTTCGGCTCAACTATCGTCAAAGGATAAGTCGCCAGTGCCTCAATTTGATTGCAATGCGGGAATTAAAGCTCACTCTGACTCCGGTTCCGAGGATAACAATGACAGCAGCGTCGAGGACACAGCAACCCATGCGTTTGACTTCCGCGGGCTCCTAGAGAATGCCAACAGTCTGGAGCGCACCAGAGATGCGCTGGCCAACCGCGGCGTCACAGCCGCATCAGCCAAAAATCGTGCTGCAACGATGGATGTCAATGCACTGCTTGCATTGGGCGAAAATCCGAATCAGAATTACGCCAAGGCCATAGACGCTGATAAGGGCGACGTGAAAGAGAAGCGGCCCAGCCGACGAGCTGCAGCAGAAGCCCCTTCGCCACCCATGGACGGACCGCCTCGTCTAAGCAAGACAAAGTCAACGCGCATAAAACGACACACAAAGACGCGGCCCGTGTCCACTGTGGTAGCTGCNAGGTCCTAGGGGCCGATCATCTGCTGGCGCATCAAAAAAGAGGTAAGCTGTCAATCGTCGGATATTCGTTCTGATTTCGTTAACACTCCGCTTCTGTAGAGATCAGAAACCGCCAAGCGGCATAAAGGGAGCTTCAGTAAAGAAGCGCAAGCCGAGTGGTCAATCTCTGCGTTCAAAGCTGTACAACAAGTACCGACCGCCGCCGAAGACGTTTCCCACTTCGCCCTCCCAGCAGAACTCGCCATCAGCGTCGGGTTCAAAAAACGCAAGAACGCCCAATGAAAGCGGTGCACAGGATCGGCACTATGCTGATTCCAGCAGTGAATGCAGTGTAGACGACTATTTGGTTAATCCCGCTGACCTCGATCTGCGCTCGAGCTTCTTTTCGGCTCAACTATCGTCAAAGGATAAGTCGCCAGTGCCTCAATTTGATTGCAATGCGGGAATTAAAGCTCACTCTGACTCCGGTTCCGAGGATAACAATGACAGCAGCGTCGAGGACACAGCAACCCATGCGTTTGACTTCCGCGGGCTCCTAGAGAATGCCAACAGTCTGGAGCGCACCAGAGATGCGCTGGCCAACCGCGGCGTCACAGCCGCATCAGCCAAAAATCGTGCTGCAACGATGGATGTCAATGCACTGCTTGCATTGGGCGAAAATCCGAATCAGAATTACGCCAAGGCCATAGACGCTGATAAGGGCGACGTGAAAGAGAAGCGGCCCAGCCGACGAGCTGCAGCAGAAGCCCCTTCGCCACCCATGGACGGACCGCCTCGTCTAAGCAAGACAAAGTCAACGCGCATAAAACGACACACAAAGACGCGGCCCGTGTCCACTGTGGTAGCTGCTGCTCAAGACACAGACGACTCCGATTTTGAGGAAGTGGCAGGTAGGAGGCAATACAAGTAGTTTGTCAACGCTCCAGAATGCGGTTGTAGTGTAGAGCATGCTTATGAAAGTTGGTTGTGGCTTATGGTATATTGTATTTGTGGGGAATAACGGTTGTATGTAACGCACAGAAGGAAACGTTTCCGACCCCACAAAGTATATATATTCTTGATCAGCATCAATAGCCGAGTCGATAGAGCCATGTCTGTCGGTCCGTCCCAAACTAACAAAAATGAAAACAAATAGCTAACCTACCCAATTAGAACTTATGTTTAACGAATTTACTTTAGCAAAATTATATTCATTCCACAAAGTATTTAGTATTTAGCATTAGCATCAAAAACAAAAACTAAAAATAATGGGAAAAAAACAGAATCCGCAGTTTTAGCGCAATTTTGTGAATGTTGATTGTACTTTTTAAATACTTCAGTAATTAAAACTTTAAGCGCACTTTAAATGAAATAAATAAATGCAAAATGTTAAAAGGAGTTAATGGCTCTGGTCTGCTCTATGCTATCTCGGGGTTGGTTTGCTATGCTATTTATTACCCAGTCTCAAGTCCCTCACAATAACATGAGTGTTACCACATCCTCATTGTACCCTACTCCACTTCCCATTTCAGACGCGGAACTTGGCCTCGACGAGGATGGTGCCGCCACACCAAACATCTCTGGCGATCTGGAAATTCACGTCGGCCAGCAGTCGGGCCGCGTTAGCAAGGAGCAGAAGACCCAGCAGGAACTGGAAATGGCGTTCAAACGTCGTCTCAACCGCGACATTAAGGAGCGGTATCAGCTGCAGCACAAGGTCAGTCTGATGGCCCAAATGTCGCGCAGCATGGTATACAATCGGCTGCTGGGCGACTCCGAGCTAATGGCAGGGGCTCTAAAGCTGCTACCAAGCAAGAAGGCCTACCCAACGGAGCGGGGCACAGAGTTGAAGTATCTTCAATCTTTTGTCACCTGGTTCAAAACTGCAGTCAAACTTCTGAGCCCCCACTTGTATCCCGAGCAAACAGAGGGTACCAAGCAGGGCATTATCAAGGAAATACTATCTCAAATCAGACGCAAGGAAGCTCGATGCAAGCAGGATCTTATATTCATATTTGTTATACTTGCAAGAGGAATGGGCATGCACTGCCGGCTGATCGTGAATCTGCAGCCAATGCCGATGCGTCCCGCAGCCAGTGACCTAATTCCGATCAAGCTGAAATCAAATGAAAAAAATAAGAGTCAAGGTCAGAATCAGACGGTAGATTCCGATGATAAGAGCGACGACTCCACAGGTGAAACGATGGAGCGCAAAGCTGCTCCGGTGATAAATAGTAGCAAGCCACAGCTATGCCCCTTAACCGAACCTAAAAAGCCCAGTCCCAGCTCACACAGTTTAAGAAGTGTTAAGAAGGAGAGCGATACAGCTAATCCGACTAAAAAAGAGTCTGAAGACATCAAGACAAGATGTAGTTCTAGGAATGTCAAGGAGCAACGAGAGCGGACACTAAATTCTAGCTTGGTCGAAAACGAAAGCCCACCTAAAAGTGGCCACAAAGCGTATCCAAAGTCCGTAGAATGTGGCTCCGAGGAAAAGCCAAGTACTTCGAAAGCAGCCAGGCCGCAGATTTCGGCTCTAAAGCGTGGCGGACCGGTTACAGAAATCACGGGCAGAGACGAGAGCAAGAAAGCCAGGTTGGCTCCTCTAAATGTGTCCTCCCCAATAGCAGGACGTACGCGCAAAGCTGCTGATAAGCCAAAACCGGCTGCTCTGCAAAATAACATATCGGGGACTCCACCGAAAATCGGATCGCCCGTCGTTCCCAAGCTGGTGTTTTCGAAATCCAAACTGCAGAATGCCAAGCACAGTGACGCGGAGAACGCAAATCCCACAGAGAAGCCGCAGCATCAGAAACAGCTAAGTGCGCGAGACACACGCTCGCGTAGCAAGTCTCCAAAGGTCCACATTTCGCCCAATTTTTTAACGGGCAAGTCTGGCGCTGTAAGAGCAGAAAGAACAACGAGTCAAACGCGGAGGAAGGGCCAAGAGGCTGAGGCTACAACATCTGATGGACGGCAGCTTCGGACTCGCCAGCAGAAGATCGCAAAACTTACCATACCTCAGTTAGATGGCACCGACGACCTGCCAGTGGCCAAAAAGCGACTTAAGCTGGAAAAGCTGCATAAGCCGCAAGATTCCGACGAAGTATTTGAGCCAGCCAGGCCGGTGAAAAAGGCGCCGATCCTGCCCAAGGCAATGGAAAAGTTGCGCAAGGACAGGCGAGTCATGTCCACAGATGATGAGAGCGGATCGAAAGGCAAGCAGAGGCTTGACTCAGCTGACATGTGGGTGGAGGTCTGGTCCGAGGTGGAAGAACAGTGGATCTGCATTGACTTGTTCAAGGGAAAGCTGCACTGCGTAGACACAATAAGGGTAAGATATAAAATTCCAGAGGCAACATATATGTTAATATCGTGCCCTTGCAGAAAAACGCCTCTCCAGGCCTGGCCTATGTATTTGCTTTCCAGGATGATCAGAGTCTGAAGGATGTAACCGCTCGCTACTGTGCCAATTGGAGCTCCATCGTTCGTAAGGCACGTGTTGAAAAGGCCTGGATCGATGAAACCATCGCTCCGTATCTGGGTCGTCGCACCAAAAGAGATATTTGCGAGGATGAGCAGCTAAGGCGAATACACACGGAGAAACCCCTTCCCAAGTCTATAGCCGAATTTAAAGACCATCCGCTGTATGTTCTCGAGCGGCACCTTCTCAAGTTCCAAGGCCTCTATCCAGCAGATGCGCCAACTCTTGGTTTTATCAAGGGGGAAGCTGTCTACTCAAGAGATTGTGTGCACCTTCTGCACTCTCGAGATATTTGGCTGAAGAGCGCCCGCGTTGTGAAGCTGGGTGAGCAGCCCTACAAGACTGTCAAGGCGCGTCCTAAGNCAGAAGATCGCAAAACTTACCATACCTCAGTTAGATGGCACCGACGACCTGCCAGTGGCCAAAAAGCGACTTAAGCTGGAAAAGCTGCATAAGCCGCAAGATTCCGACGAAGTATTTGAGCCAGCCAGGCCGGTGAAAAAGGCGCCGATCCTGCCCAAGGCAATGGAAAAGTTGCGCAAGGACAGGCGAGTCATGTCCACAGATGATGAGAGCGGATCGAAAGGCAAGCAGAGGCTTGACTCAGCTGACATGTGGGTGGAGGTCTGGTCCGAGGTGGAAGAACAGTGGATCTGCATTGACTTGTTCAAGGGAAAGCTGCACTGCGTAGACACAATAAGGGTAAGATATAAAATTCCAGAGGCAACATATATGTTAATATCGTGCCCTTGCAGAAAAACGCCTCTCCAGGCCTGGCCTATGTATTTGCTTTCCAGGATGATCAGAGTCTGAAGGATGTAACCGCTCGCTACTGTGCCAATTGGAGCTCCATCGTTCGTAAGGCACGTGTTGAAAAGGCCTGGATCGATGAAACCATCGCTCCTTATCTGGGTCGTCGCACCAAAAGAGATATTTGCGAGGATGAGCAGCTAAGGCGAATACACACGGAGAAACCCCTTCCCAAGTCTATATCCGAATTTAAAGACCATCCGCTGTATGCTCTTGAGCGACACTTGCTCCTGTTCCAGGCCCTCTACCCAGCAGATGCACCGACTCTTGGTTTTATCCGAGGAGAACCTGTCTACTCAAGAGATTGTGTGCACCTTCTGCACTCCCGAGAAGTCTGGCTGAAGAGCGCCCGGGTCGTGAAGCTGGGCGAGCAGCCCTACAAGATTGTCAAGCGTCCAAAGTGGGATAAGGTAGATATATTTTGAGTTCGACCAACGTCAGTGACTAATGTAATCTATATGCTCATGCTCTGGTCAGTTCACTAGAACTATTCTTAAAGAACAGCCCCTTGAGGTATTTGGCTACTGGCAAACGCAAGAGTACGAACCTCCCACTGCGGAGAACGGCATTGTACCACGCAATGCCTACGGCAATGTCGAGCTATTCAAAGCCTGCATGCTTCCTAAGAAGACGGTGCACCTGAGGCGTAAGTTAATCGACCCACCCTACCTGTCTCAGTTTCTATACACAATGAGTAATTTTTGTTTATTGGCAGTGCCGGGACTGATGCGCGTTTGCAAGAAGTTGAACATAGACTGTGCAAATGCAGTAATCGGCTTTGATTTCCACCAGGGCGGCTGCCACGCCACGTACGACGGCTTCATTGTCTGTGAAGAGTTCCGGGAAGTGGTCTGTGCGGCTTGGGAAGAGGATCAGCAGGAGCAGGCGCGCAAAGAGCAGGAGAAGTATGAGACCCGAGTCTTCGGCAATTGGAAGAAGCTCATCAAGGGTCTGATCATTCGCGAACGGCTCAAAAGGAAATACAATTTTTAAATGTTTTTTCTGTTTTCTGCGTTTTCATGTCGATTGAAATTGAATTCCTCCTTTGTCCCAGTTATGTAGCTTAAAATTATGTTTGATTTAAATAAATTGTGCGATAAATTCGATTACATTTAATTCCTTCCGAATTCACTTGTTTAGTGATTTATTTTATTTAGAATTTGGGTTTTTGGTAACTTTCCATTTGCATAATCAATCGTATAATATTATTTGGTATCAGTTAATATAAAAAAAGACGTTTCATTAGCTGAGTACTATAAGGACATCGATAGCGAGCGTTTAAATATAGTATGAAGGAATGGACAAACTTTAATTTGGTTCCAACTCCCCCAAGCTTCATTAAATGTGTAAATATCTCATAGTAGCGTAGTAGGGGTGGTTTTCAAATCTCTACGAGAGCATGGAAAGAATCAGAAGACTAGTTAACTAGCTAAGCAAATTATGAAGAAATCTTATGCAGGCAAGGTCTTGGTCACAGGCAAATGCCTGCTCGTCGACCCGGAGTTGCCCGTAGGGGGTGTCGTGCTGCTCGTCTGCTGATGCTGCAGACAGCTCTGGGCCTTCAAGTACTCGACATACATTCGCCTGGCTTGGTTGAGAACGCGTGTAACATCGTGCTTGCGTACCATCTTGTCAAAGTGCATGGCAATCTCGTTGTAGTCCATTCCCGCTTTCATGATGGTGTTGCGGTGTTGCAGAAGAAGGGTTAGGCAAAGAAACATGAGGAAGGCATTGCCACCACCGAATTCTGAGGGCGGAGGCAGTGCAGCCGCCGTAATGCCCAGTGTTCCGGCGATTCCATTCAGATTGCCCGTTCTCTGTGGTGAACGGATGTAGGCGCTCTCGTCGTCGGCATTTGTGGCAATCTCCACAAGCGGGGATACTTCCACCAGATTCGGTTCCGTTGAGATGGGCAAGATCACCTCTGGCAGACTGCTGCTGTTGCGCATGCCCAGCGGATTGTGCCCGTCTAGCAGCAGCTGGTTCTCGTCGGTGAATGGATTGAAGGTGCGCGACTCATTCAGCTGGACGCTGTTGCTCTTGGTGGCCGCTAATCGCTGGCGACGTCGCATGTGCAGTTCGCTGACGTCGGGACACGTTATGATTTCGTTTTCCTTGAGATCATCTACCATATCCAGAGCGTCCTGGTCTAGCTCTTCGTACTGTATGGCATCAGCAACAATCGGCCGTTTCTTGTTCTCCGTGAAAGGCAGCCCAAAAACTTGTCGATCCAAGTTTTCCGCCTCCAGACGCAGCTCACGTGTAATGGCGTTTGTCATAGGATAATACTCTTGATCCTGGTCCGGCTCCTGGTCGGGTGTGTAGCCGCTTGTGTTTCTGTGGTTCCTCACCTTATCTCCCGGTTCACTATGCTGCAAGTCTGGAGTGCGCTGCCCCGTCGAGAAGTTCTCCAACTTCAGCTGCAGATTGTAGCTGCTCGAATCTTGCCCCTGTTGTATCGCTGTGTCCGCTGTCGAGGCGCTACAGCTAGTATCTGCCAGCGAGGAAGAGTCGGATTCATCTAGCGACCCTCCCAGTCCGGCCTTGGTCAACTGAACAAGCGGCTTGCTGGCCGAAGTCGCGGATGGGGGAGACGGCTTTTCGGCCAAAAGCTGCTGATTGGAAAATCGATCTGAGATGCGATTCTTATTGATTGTTGCAAAATTGAGAAATTCGTTGAAGTTCTTGACGAGCTTGGGTGGCATCTGGCTCTCGCCATTACCGGTGATGACAGTCTCGCCATCTTCATTGGACGGTACCGGAATACCTAAGCGACTTGTTGAGGCAAGCTTCTCTTTGAGATCCTTGAAGTGGCTGCCGCTACGCTTTACACTCTCGCTGACGTGACTGGCATTCGATGCCAATTGCTTTGCAATGATATTGCTTACGGATAGAATATTATTTTGCTGTGGCTTTTGTCCCTCGGTGGCCTGCGGTGTCCTCCCTTCACCTGACTCCTCGTCTAAATTGCACGACGAGGATGAGCTGCATAGAAAGGCCCGTCCTAGGGGTGCAGCTTTTGGGCTTTCCACTCCTGGGGAATTTTGGGCATCATCCTTAAACGGGTTCGTTTCAAGAAAGCGCGGGGAGTCTTTCCTATCAAATACATCATCGTACTGCTCGGAATCCTCGTCGGCAGTTAATTTTTGCACTGACTGAACAAGTGTGCTTTCCGTGGCACCCTCAATCAGCGCCAGCATTTTGGACTCGTCCAGGCTCTGGTGCACTTTAGCAGAAGTCCGTCGCTGACGACGAGAGGCTACTCCTGCATGTCGAGACATATTGTCGTCCAGACTGTGATTCAACCGCTTCGTATTGTCCAGAGCATGACCGCCAGGCCCGAGGGAAGAGCTTAATGAGCTGAGAGATGCGGACGAGCTCTGACGACGCAGTGCACAGACCTTTGTGTAGGGGTTCTCGAGCGGCTTGCTTAACAGATACGAGGGACTATTCGGCGTCGCGCTGTAGGAGGTGGAGAATGTGCTCGCACTGCTGGGCACTGAGGCATCCGTAGAGGCCAAGAATTCCTAAAAAATTAATAATAATTCAAGTTTGAAGTAATCTTTAGTTATACGAACGGATAAAGAAGTTCATTGAAATCCGCATAACATTTCAAATTCTCAAACCTTCTCAAACAACTGAAGCTCCGATTCGCTGCTGGAATTGCTGCCATAACGGAGCGAGCTCCACTGCACCTCCAACATGCGCAGCGCATCGTCAAATGGGAACTCCCGCTTCAGCTCCAGCAGCAGCCAACGGTAACAGAAGAGTAGATCGTCCGCCTGCTGGGACTTGAGGTACTCCCAGAACTCGGGATCGTAGAAGCTTAGTGCCTCTGTGAGGTGTGCGAACTTTTGTGTCATCGCAATGCCGTCTAGCATGAAGTTGCCACGTACGCGAGCCATGATGGCACAGAAGCATATGTAGGCCTGTGCTTCATCGTTCATGGTGACCAGCAGGGGCGAGGCTATATCCGACATTCCCTGGCAATAGCTGACCGAGGGATGGTTCAGGGCGTAGGTGGTGAGGATGTTGAAGAGCGATGCAATGTTCTGATTGTCGTCGCTGCCTGCGTAGAACGGATGTAGACGGTCCGTGCGGAGTACATCCTTCTTCACCATGCTAGTCACGTAGGCGAGCTCTCCAGCCACACTTCCCCGCTTAATGGCCGCCTTCCACGTGTCTCTCAGCCGGATGTACTGCTCCGATTTGCGTCGCATGAACTCCATGCGCTGATGCCCATCCAAGGCCAGTCCGTGTGTTCCCCCTGGATAGACATTGAGCAGGTGCTTCCACACAACGCGGCGAAGGCTAGGATCGATCCCGCCCAGAAAAATCACTTTGTGCAACTCATCCTTGCGTTGGATCTGGCCTAGAGCATCCAGGAACATTCGAAACTCGCTGTCGCACATGGGAGGCCGTGGCGGAAGATTGGCCATGTGTTCCTCGGACAAATTGAACGCCTTCTGAACAATTGAAAAAGTCTTTTCCATGTGATTCATGATGAGGCCCGGCAGCTTCGTCTGCATGTGTTGAACATATTTCTGCGAGACACCCAACGACTGTAGTGGCGACACAAGCTCCCGGGCACCACTCGTACTCCCACCACTGGGGGTGGCCGAGAGTGTCGATGAGGTTATGCTGCTTGATCGGCTGGTTGTCGCAGGCGATTCTGTCTCGCACTCCCTCACCACTGTGAACGGTTTTACATCGATCTGCAGTATTAGACATGGCTCTGAGGCCGTCTGAATGGAAATGTTGTGAATTCGCAGAAACGCAGCATCGAGGTCCCAATCAGATCGAACGGCCAAGTAAATTTCGTTGCCAGCCGGATCAAAAGCTTTGTACTTAATGGAGAAGTCCGACTTTACGTCAAACGCCTTGGCGAGCAAGGAATACAGAACCTCCAGAGTTGTTATCTGTGGGTCCACCGAAAACTTTCGCCACTCTGGTTTTGTGGTTGACTCGCATTTCTGCAATCAATGTGAATGGTGAATAACGCGATGTATTGGCCTAGTTTTCTTGATCGCTTTCTTTTACTCACCTTTACTTTAACCCTCACAGCCTCCCTGGGGCAAATGCCTGCCATATTCTTTTGTTTATGCACTTTGAGACTAACTTATTTCCATATTATTAGTGTGTTGTGTTGGTGCGATGTTTTTTTGTGCTACCAGCAATAAGAACGGTATGTGACCATGAACTTATCGGTAAAATATACCCGTCTTACCCTCAGAAATATACCGCACCATACCTCTCATTTTCCAAAAAAAAAACCGTAATATACCGAGAAAAAACTACGGTCGCTCAAATTGCTTATAGACGTCACCTCCGGCACTCTTGTTCTTCGATATTTTTCTTGCAGAAGCAAATTATAGTCGGAATGTTAACGTATGCAGAAAATAATTAATATTATCAAAACTGGCTTGAATTTAAGTGTATTGTAGCAACTATTACGAGAGCACCATAAATGATTTTTAGTATTATCCAGTTGGCATTTGATATTTTTTAGCTGATATTTGTGACATTGTTTTTGCGCTTAGGGTCACATTGTTTCGTGTATGTGTATAAATATAAGAATTTAGTGCAAAATTGTTGTTGTTAGCTTAGTTTTTTAGCAGTTGTGTTTTTGCAAATGCATTTTGTGTCTGGCCACAGCACGTTGGCACTTTATGCTCAATCACATTAGGCGCGTGTCGATCGAATTGGTGCGTAATCACAATCGTCAAGACATTGGGTGTGTATATGTATTGGTGTATTTCGGGCGTGTATGTGACGTGTTAGGCAAGAAGCACAGAAATTCCTCAAAATGCTTCTATGATATTGACCCAAGCCCGAACGTGAACCCAAACCTAAGCCCAAGCCGGCTTCAGCTGTACCTTCTGTTTTCCGGTCTCCATATATTGCATCCAAGAGAGGCTTGTGCACACGCCTTTAGTTCTGAAATCGAGATAACTTTTGTTTAATTTATAGTCACTTTATCTGCTCAGCTCAGCAATTGAATGAAGCTCTGTGCTGAACTGATAAATTCTCCCTCTTTCTCTCTCTCGCTCTCTGTCTGAGTTCGAGCTTAACGCTGTGGTGTTGCCGCTGGCAGTTAAGCACACAACACAATGTAAGTTAAATTATTATGCAAAATAATGCTCCTACTTCCGTTGACGCATTGTGGTACATACTCGTGTCGTGTTTACATGTATGGAGTGCGCCTTCTCGTGGCAACGCGCTTTCATCATTATATTTGATACGTCAACTTCTGTCGGTCCAGTACCATCTTACCCCGGCTCTGGTTCTATTCCAATAGACACTTTACACTTACTTAATTTACAGATTGGCTAGGGTTTGATGGATGACACATCACCATGGGAAAGCTACTATCGAAAATTTTTGGCAACAAAGAGATGCGAATTCTCATGCTCGGGCTGGACGCGGCGGGCAAAACAAGTAAGGAGGCTAACAAGTTAGCCGTCGAATAGCATTGAAAAGTGCAAGATCTAATTTACCCCTACCTCTCGCAGCGATCCTGTACAGACTCAAACTAGGGCAATCAGTTACAACGATACCCACTGTGGGCTTCAATGTCGAAACTGTGACGTATCGGAATGTCAAGTTCAATGTGTGGGACGTTGGTGGGCAGGATAAAATTCGACCGCTCTGGCGGCACTACTACACAGGTACTATAATCATTTCTTTTCTGGCCAAGAAGCAGACCAAGTACTAACAAATTAACGATTGGTTTGCAGGTACACAGGGTCTTATTTTCGTAGTGGACTGTGCGGATCGAGATCGAATAGACGAAGCGCGCACGGAACTGCATAGGATAATTAACGATAGAGAAATGCGGGACGCCATCATACTGATATTTGCTAACAAACAGGATCTTCCTGATGGTAATTATTATCGGCCAAGTCAACCCGAATTTAACGTTCCCTCCATCTCTTTACATTCACGGCCTGTCTTTGTGTCTTGCAGCAATGAAACCCCATGAAATCCAGGAAAAACTAGGCTTAACTAGAATAAGAGATCGCAATTGGTATGTCCAACCATCATGTGCCACAACCGGCGATGGCCTTTCTGAGGGCCTCACGTGGTTAACGTCGAACCACAAATTATGAGAATCATAATCCATATTTTGTATATGTATATGGCATGTATTATTCGAAGCGAAGCAAAAGCAACCATATTCTATTTTATTTATACAACAAACACATAACGCAAGCGCATAGTTAAAAGCTGAATAACGAACGTACATAAATTAAAAAAAAAACTTGTTGAAGCTGGTACACAGAAGTCAGATAGATATATATATATAGTGATTATATACATATACTCTCAATTAACCACCCAATATTCTCACTAGTAAAATACACATACAAATAAACGAAGCATTAAAGAATTAAAAAAAGGCAAACAGTAAATATGCATAACCAATGCATGAAGCACAGAGACAAGAGCAGAACAGAAATTAGAGTTAAGTAAGTTTTTCTTGTAAATTATATTGAGACATGTAAGCAATAAGTTAAAAGCTGTTTATTGCAACTGTTACTATATATGACTTGAGCGAGGGGAACGAGTCTTAAATAAATATTGTAAATAAAATAAATATTCAACTAAAGCCCATACACAACATCAAACTACAAATAAAACAGAACACCGATCAATTGAGCAAACCATAGATTTCTATATACACTAAGATAACAAAAAATAGTCACGGTGCCTTCCTGAATCGTCTGCGTGTCAGTCCAGTCTTCGTCTTCGATGTATAAATTCCGTTCCTCTCTTACAGCAGTTCAAACATTTTCCCTATCCGCTCATTCGGCTCTAGCTGGATATTCGTCTATTGCAATGTGGTGTATCGGTGTATGGGAAATTAATCCTATTTTCTGCGCCGACGTCCACGAGTCAACGCTTCGGTGTCAGATGCAGTGGGTTTGTATTGTTTATCCATTTCGAAATGCAAACATGCCATGCCCATGTCGATGGCCACAAATGCGGGAAAGGGGAGTGAAACGTATTCGCATCTGAGTCTGAAAGATTAAACAGTGCGTTCAATAATTGCTCTTTGTTTCCCATGACTACCTCTCAAACTTGATGATATATTTATTGACATATGCATGTAACAAACATAATGTGTGTAAGTAGTATATACAAGCATATTTTAATTCCAGCTCTTTGGCTGTTTGGGTATTTATAATTGATAGCAGTGAATTACTAATACTTGGGAAAGAGCAATATGTGTGGAATATACTTTTAGTTGTTCAATGATGATGAGAAGTATCAAACGAATCCTAATTAACGTGCATTATACCTGCTACTCAAACTAAACGTTCATCTTTGACATTTTTTCGGCATTGCGGGAAAGAATTAAAGATAACTTTGTATGGATTCGATATGGTTAGGGTCAGTTAAATAATTGTGGAGACAGAAAAATACAAATAAAATCTGTATAAGTTCAATGCAAACTTAATTTTAAATATTTCAAATTATATTTAAATTGCCAAATATTAATTTCGACTCTTAAATTACATTTTCACTGGTATAGAAACAAAGAAAATAATATTATTTTCACACATATGATACAAATATGCACATAATTATGTATTTTTCTATGTACAGCTGCGTCGTTTAAAATAGCACCATGAAAACAATTGTTTTCTTTGAGATATTTTGTTAAAACAATGGTTCCAATGAAGGGTTTTAAAACTAATATATAAACTTTGAGGCTTAATTCAACTTATCCGAGAGAGATGGTATGCTTTGATGACTTTAGTTGGAAATATTTGGAAGGAAAAGGAATTATTCCTGAGAGTCCTGTCATAAAATGTAACCTTATTTTCGCGTCCTTCCTTGGGGATTCATCTCCACAAATCTGGCAGGACAGCCAAATGTCAAACTTTTTCTTTAATTTCGCCTTAGAAACATATTCCTTAACTGTTCCCCAAAGATTTTCCCTATGGTTCATATCTGGGGACTGAGCAAGAGAAAACATTGCATAAAAGTCACTGATGAAAAGACACAACTCAACGGCATTTTCTATTGCATATAAGGCAGCATTATTGTTTTACTATATAATAACAGAGCCATGTTGATTCACGGGTACTTTACCACATCCATAATACGAAAGGCATGCACATACCATGATTCTTGTCTCAGCATGATTATTAGATATAAATATGTGTCAACGGGTTGTTTTTTTTATTTGGTAGTCGTTTTACACAAAATTTTGCTTCCTCCGGATCACAGGATCTATATCCATATATATTTGGGCCAACTCCAGTGTTTTTTCTACCTTGTATTTACTTTGTCCCATGGTGTCTTTGCTCAACTGAATTTTTTCTGAGACTTCGAAAACTTAATTTATATTATTTCAAGCTAAATCTAGCTTTGCTTATCTTTGGAAATTTTTTAAGATCCTTTTTAAGCTCTGTGGCCGGCTTAAAAGGACCTCTCTTGCTCTCAGGAACAAGCATTTTCAACCGAAATGTGGATATTGTGCCAATTCTTTCACGAGTTTCTTGTTGGATACATGTTTTAAAGTAATACAAATCATTTTAGATGAGGAACCTACTATTTTTCTCACATAAGGATAGCTTTCTTCTATTGGAGTTAAAGTTTTGATCCTTTGGTTTTTTTCTTCCCTAAAGTGCTTTCGACGACCTAAAACAACATATTTTGTAACTGTCTGGTTACAAACGACCAATTCAAAACATTATATATTAAAAAGCTCGGAAAAGTAAAAGTTTATATAAAATACAAATTTTGGTGCTATTTTTTGTTGCCGTTCAGTTGCCGCCAAAGCTGTACGAGTAAGGACACTTCTCTCAGATAGTAGAAATCTCCAACCTACTTTATATTACTTCAAAGTGCAAAACATGCTTTATAGAACCCATTTATTAAACAATAAAGACTGTTGTACCACCCGGTGCTATTATTTTCACCGCAACTGTACATACATAAATATGTACGTATGCATCCTAGTCAGCATATATTGACGTCTTCCGGGATTAAATTGGCTTAGTCACTACAGTGATGGTAGTCTGCACAAAAAACAAAGAAGTCATTAATGGAAAAAAGACAAGCACATATAATCAAACATTTAGAACTATAATTTTGATCCAGGTGGTGTCAAAAAATTTTGGCTCATTTAATATTTGTAGCTCTATGTAGTTACATACATACATACATATTTATGTAAATTTAAATGTATG